TGATGACAATCATGATGAAGATGATCATGATGGTGTTATGATGATGATGGTGTTATGATGATGATGGCAATTATGAGGATGATGATTACGGTGATGATGATGAAAATTATGATGATAATGATAATAACGAAGATGATGTTGATGTTGATGATGATGGTGGTGATTATAATTTTGATGATGATGATGACGATGATGTGGATGATGATGATGGTGAGGATGATGATGACGATGATGTGGATGATGATGATGATGATGATGATGATGATGATGATGATGATGATGATGATGATGGTGATGATGATGGTGAATTAGGATGACGATTGTGATGATGATGGTGATGATGATGATGATGATGATTATGATGATGGTGGTTAGGATGACGATGGTGGTGGTGATGATTATGAAGATGGTGATGATGATGATGATGATGGTGATGGTGGTGGTGATTAGGATGACGATTGTGATGATGGTGATGATGAAGATGGTGATGATGATGATGATGGTGATGGTGATGATGATGATGATGATGATGATGATTATGATGATGATGGTGATCATGAAGATGATGATGATGATGATGGTGATCATGATGATGGTGATGATGATGATGATGATGGTGATGATGATGATGATGATGATGATGATGATTATGATGATGGTGATGATGATGCTGATTAGGATGACGATGGTGGTGATGATGATGATGATGAAGATGGTGATGATGATGTTGATAAGGATGACGATGATGATGATGATTATAATGATGATGGTGATTAGGATGACGATGGTGGTGATGATGATGATGATAATGATTCTGCTGATGGTGATGATGATGATGAAGATGATGATAATTCTGCTGCTGCTTCTGGTGATTAGGATGACGATGATGATTATGATGGTGATGGTGATGATTATGATGGTGATGGTGATGATGATGATGATGATGATGATGATTATAATGCTGATGATGATGTTTTCTTCAGGTGTGCTGATGTGGGAGGTTTTCACTGAAGGGAAGATGCCGTTTGAACACAGTCAGAATCATGAGGTGGTGCTGATGGTCACTCAGGGACATCGACTCTACCGGCCCAAAAAAGCAGCTCCTCACATCTACAATATCATGAAGATGTGCTGGATGGAGGTGACGTCTTTGCTTGAGTCCTTCACAGCCTCAGTCACATCACTAGCTGTGTTCATTTGCATTTTGAAAAATTTCATACAAAAGCTTAATGGAAATGTCAAGATGCGCATACATTATAATATTGCTCATAAAAACATGCAGAACTGAGTAGGATAAAACCTTTAGTTTACAATGGAAACACATTTACCCAGTAAATACCAGCATTCGCATCCACAAAGTTTACATTTTATTTACATTTTTGGATTGAACAGATCATGTCATAAAAAAGCATTACCAATTTTATACTACATATATCTTATAATACAAATTTTGCATTGCTGTTTTAGATGGTTAGGACAAAAACTAGAAAAGATGCCTTTAAAGGTCAAATCAAAGAAGCAGACTTTGTTTTCTTTGTTATCAAAACATTTTTGTTCAGTGGATTAACCAGCATGGATTAAGCAAAAGAGCTAACAAAATAAACTAACTAATTAAAAAAACTAACTTTGATTTAACGCTGTAAATATAAATATAGATTTTTAAAAAAAGTCTTGTGTTGTGAAGAAAGAATCGAATTATGTATGAAAAGCATCGTCAATGCACCGAGATGCACTGAGATATTGAATTGTGCTAAATCGAACCAAACCGTGAGAGCAGTGTAGATTCACACCCCTACTCATTACAATTATAGACCTTTTTCTCGGCTGCTGCACGGAGTGCGCCATAGTGACCAGCGTCTTCCGATAGAACGTTTAGAAATTCCGTTTACAGCATTTACAATCGGTAATTTGCGCTCTGAAAATGGGTTTCAAACGTGTTTTGTGTGGATTACGGAGTGTTTTTGTGACACACAACTTTGAAAGGTGTGTGTTAAAGCTGTTATAATCTGTCAGATCTGTGGTTCAAGCGTAAGAGAAAAACAGTATCCTAGTTGATATAAATCGTAAGCCATGTTTCTTTTCGTTCTGCATAATCACGTGTTCCAAAAAAAAAAGATATTTAAAATAAACAAAACTATATGATATCTGGGCGAAGCAGTGGCGCAGTAGGTAGTGCTGTCGCCTCACAGCAAGAAGGTCGCTGGTTCGAACCTTGGCTCAGTTTGGCGTTTCTGTGTGGAGTTTGCATGTTCTCCCTGCGTTCGTGTGGGTTTTCTCCGGGTGCTTTTGTTTCCCCCACAGTCCAAAGACATGCGGTACAGGTTTACAGGTAGGCTAAATTGTCTGTAGTGTATGAGTTTGTGTGAATGTGTGTGTGTGTGAATGTTTCCCAGAGATGGGTTGTGGCTGGAAGGGCATCCGCTGCTTAAAAATTTGCTGGATAAGTTGGCGGTTCATTCCGCTGTGGTGACCCCAGATTAATAAAGGGACTAAGCCGACAAGAAAATGAATGAATATGATGTCTTTTGACTGCTTCCTTTAATAACTACAGTACATAATACTTGAACTATTAGCACTTGAGTAGTAATTTTTGAAATAAACTACTTGCAAAACTTAAGTACAAGAAATGTTGAATACTTTAGTACTTCCACTTCAGTATGGTGCTTAAAGAGCACTTCAACTTCTACTCACTTTTTTGATAGAGCACTTGTACTTTAAAGGGTCACGAAACACCAGAACACATGTTTTGAGCTGTTGACAGTCGTATATGTGTCCCACACTGCTAAAAACACTATTAGGACACCTATATTTCACTAAAAAGTGTAAATTGTTTGTTTTTGCGTTATTTCAAGCAAATTCGTACTTCCGGTTTGAAACTAATTTTTGAAGCTGCGTCACGGTCATGACATAATAGCGTGTATTCCAGCGTGCAGACTGGACGTCTGAGCCAGAGTGTGTCTTATTACGTCTTACAGTGTGCTGCATTAATGCATGAGTAAAGCTTGGTTCAAACCAATCAGCGCGCTCCATTGTGCAACTTGATTAATATTCATTACTGTCACAGTGTTTAGACGACAGAGACGCCACGTTGTGTTGGCAAAACAAGCGTGAAGTGTTGCTTTTATAGTTTGCTGCAGTGAAGTTTTGTTTTCATTTTCTCTCTGTGAGAGCTTATCTGGATCACGTGTGGATTAACAGTGTACGCGACGCTCGACAACAATAACTTACGTGTCTAAGGAGGATTATTGTTTACCTGAGAGCTGTTCTCATCTGCAAACGCTGAGATCCGGATTCGCTTGTAGTCTCCTCTTAATAAAGACGTGGCTCTAGTTGCTGGTGATTGTTCTGTCTCTACAGATTTGGTAAGTGAGCGACCAGTGCTCTTTGTTTATTCAATTTGTTCGTATCGAACTAACCATTGCACCGAGTGTAAACATGTTAGCACCACAACCAAACTTTAACCTCGTGTAGGGTTTTCACTGCATTTAGTGACCGGAATAACACACGCGGCTTTCTGACGCTACCTGCTGTGTGCATCTAAGTTTCCGGGAAATGCTGAGGTTTTTTTCTCTCATTCGCCGTGCGGTATCAAACATTGCATGAAAAATACACGCTTACAGCAGCTCCTCGAATCAAATATCTCGTTTGTCGCGAGGGGCATGACTGAATTCCCTGAATGAAAGAGCCAAACTGCAGTTAAAGTCCACCATTTAATAATTTGGCAAATAATTAGACTACAGATGTCCATGTAAACACAGTCACTCTCTCCCCTGTGTGTGTGTGTTTTGACTCTGAAAGTCAGCGCGCCCAAATAGACACTCCCACACCAAGCCTCTTTTCTTCCTCTGACACTCCCCCCTAAGCAGAGCTGGACACGCCCACTTTTCTGACTTTTTCCAAAGTAGAGGTGTGAAAACATCCTGCTGAAACGAGGGGCTTTCATGGCCCTTTAACTTAAGTCTGGGTCTCTAGTACT